CTAAAACTATGGGGCTGGGGTTGTGGCTCAGTGGTAGAGCGCTCGCCTAGCACATGCAAGGCCCTGGGTTAGATCCTTAGCACCACATAAAAATAAAGAAAGAAACACCAATTTAAAAAATATATATATTAAAAAAAGCTAAAACTATGTAACAAAAAATAAGAAACAAAAGCCAAAAGTTGGGATTAAAAAAAAAAAACCTGATAAGTCCCTTGAAAAATTATTTAAGAAGAACAAGAAACACTAATTAGAAAAATCAAGAATGACAAAGATTCTATCTACATTGAAGGACACAAAAGGCATTACTAAGAACAGCTTTATACCAATATATTTGACAACTTAGATGAAATGAAAATTATCTTGAAAAGTTTTACAAAACTGACACAAAATGAAATAGGAACTCTTTGTGGCTCCATGTCTATTCACAAAATTAAATTTGTAATTGAAAACCTTTCTAGGGCTGGGGTGTAGCACAGTGGTAGAGCACTTTGCCTAGCATGTGTGAAACACTGGGTTTGATTCTCAATACCGCATATAAATAAAGAAAGAAAAATAAAGGTTCACTGACAACTTAAAAAAGAAAAAAAGAGAAAACCTTTCTATAAGGAAAACTCTCAGCCCAAATAATTTAACTAGCAAATTCCATTAAAAATTTAAAGAAAAAAACACTATTGATCTTACAGTCAGAAAATAAACATTACCAAAAAATGCAAATCTCTATATAAAAATCCTTAACAAAATAGTAGTAAGTCAAAATCATAATTATACTGGAGACCCTAGGCAGTGCAACAAGAACAGCAGCAGCAAAGAAGGCACACAGTTTAGAAAGAATTAAAGATATTTTCATCTGTATACAACATGATTGTTTATGCAATTATTAGAAAAGAGAAACTACTAAAACTAATAAGTGAATTTATAAAGGTCATAGAATAAAAGGTTATCAATTATTTTTCTATATACTAGGAGCAGACAATTAGAAAATGAGTTTTAAAAATAATTCCATTTACACTAGCATTTAAAACTAAGTTATTTAGGAATTTTAATAAAAAAATAAAATCTCTATATAGCAGGAATGGTGGCACAGTCCTGTAATCCTAGGAGCTTGGGAGACTGAGGCAGGATTCCAAGTTCAAAGCCAGCCTCAGTAACTTAGTGAGGCCCTAAAAAACTGTTCCAAAATAAAATAAAAAGGGCTGGGGATGTGGCTCAGTTGTTAAGCACCCCTGAGTTCAATCTCTGGCTTAAAAAACAAAAAACAAAATAAAACAAAAAAAAAAACCTCTATGTATAAGTGTTGGAGAGATGTTGGGGAAAAGGGTAAACTTATACATTGCTGGTGGGACTGCAAATTGGTGCAATCACTTTGGAAAGCAGTGTGGAGATTCCTTAGAAAACTTGGAATGGAACCACCATTTGACCCAGCTATCCCACTCCTTGGTCTATACCCAAAGGACTTAAAATCAGCATACTACAGTGACATAGCCATACCAATGTGTTTATAGCAGCTGAATTCACAATAGATAAACTGTGGAACCAACCTAGATGCCTATTAATAGATCAATGGATAAAAAAACTGTGCTATACACACACATAATGGAATATTACTCAGTATTAAAATAAAATAAAATTAAGGCATTTGCAGTTAAATGGATGGAGTTGGAGAATATTATGCTAAGCGAAGTAAGCCAATCCAAAAAAACTGAAGGCCTAATGTTTTCTCTGATTAGTGGATGCTGATCTATGATGGGGGGAGGGGCATGGGAAGAATGGAGGAACTTTGGATTGGGCAAAGGAGAGTGTGGGGAAGGTTATGGGGGTAGGAAATATGGTGGAATGAGATGGACATCATTACCCTAGGTACATGTATGATTGCACGGATGGTGTGTCTCTACATTGTGTACAGAGAATTGGAATGTTGCATTCCATTTGTGTATGATGAATTCAAATGCATTCTGCTGTCATGTACAACTAAGTAGAACAATAATAACAACAACAACAACAACAACAAACTATTGGGAATAATTAAGGAAAACTTATTTCAAAGGAGAAATGTAGCCAGATGCAGTGGCTGAGGCAGGAGAACTGGAGGTTCAAGGTCAGCCTCAGTAATTTAGCAAGACCCCAAACAACTCAGTGAGAACCTGTCTTTAAATAAAATACAAAATAGGGTTGGTGATATGGTTCAGTGGTTGAGTGCTCTTGAGTTTATTCCCTGGTACTCCCCGGCACCACCCCCCAAGGAGAAATGTATCAGATTCAGTAAAATCACAAACAAAATCCCAAAAGGATTATTTATAGAAACTGGCAAATTGATACAATTTACGTGGGAATGCACATAGACTGAGAATACACAAAACAGCCTTGAAATTTCAAGAATAAGGGGCTGGGGATGTGGCTCAAGCGGTAGTGCGCTCGCCTGGCATGCGTGCCGCCCGGGTTCGATCCTCAGCACCACATACCAACAAAGATGTTGTGTCCACCGAGAAATAAAAAATAAATACTAAAAAAATTCTCTCTTTCTCTCTCTCTCTCTCTCTCCTCTCTCACTCTCTCTTTAAAAAAAAAAAGATTTCAAGAATAAAATTGAAGGACTTGCCATCTGGTTTCAAAAAATATGAAGATACAGTAGTCAAGAGAGTATGAATGATAATGACATAAGGATAAACAAACAGATAAGTACAACAGAAATTTCAGAAATAGATGAAAATTTATGTGGCAATTCAGTAGCAAAAAAAACCTGTAAAAATATCTTGATGGAATGCTGATTATCCATGTGCATAATTTGTGAAAATGCATCAAACAACTTGAAATCTGTGCCTTTCACTGTATATAAATTTTGTATCAATTTTTATAAAAGGTAAGCTAGTTTTGTCTCAGTATACTTTACTGAAAGACTAATAGATCATAATTTTAGTTATAATTTATGAGATTCTAAGACATACCTAACAAAAGATAAATATTTTTTTAACTTATTTGCTAAACTCCAAACCAATGCTATAAACATTTATCTACCCTGGCAGTTTCAGGTCAAACTAATTATGAGGGCTAGAGGGATTGTTTCTATTTTGTGCAGATCACTCTGCTTGTATTTTACATATATTATCCCATTTAGTTTTCATGACAAACTATGAGACAGGGACTAGTATCAAACCATCTCCACTTTTTATTTGAGGACACTGAGACTGGAGTATGAATGACTGCCAAGGGTCACAGGTGGCAGAGCAAAGGTCTGAACTCAGGCCTGATTGACTACTTGCTAGTCAGACTCCCAAATCCTCAGCTCCCTCACAAACCAGGAAGGCAAGTACCTGAAAACTTAAGTTTTCTAAAAAGTCCAACCATCAAGAACTGTACAAAACCTAGATCAGGCCTTAACTGTCCTTCAAGTCTCCTGGCTACTCCCTGCCTCCAATTCACTCTCCAGCCTTGGTCTCCAGTAATAGCTCTAACATCACTCAAGCCTGCTCCCCAGCAAAATTCCTTTTAGAGGTTCCTCTTGACCTTTTGGAAAGTACCCTAAAAAATTTAGTCCCCATAGCATGTAAAATACAAAAAAGCAAGAGAACCAAGTATAACAAATTATTAGTACTAATGCCATTTCTCAAATGGATCTTCTACCATTCTGGTACCAATACAGGAACTAGGTAAAGGTGAATCCACTCTATCTACAAGATAAGGGTAGAGACAAGACTTGTCCTCTTTCAGTTTTTATTCCCACGGCCACTCCCTAAAAACATTCCTTTGGCCTTTGTACTCAGGAGCCCCATAGTTCTGGAGGATCCTTTCAAACTAGCACCTGGAATCCACCAAACTCAAGATCACCACCGAACTTTCCCATTGAGCGTACACCCTGTCACCTCTCCATTCTAAGATGATGTACACTGTACTCAGGGTAATCTCCAAAACTGTCACCAGCCCAAATATCTGTCCATCATGTGTCTATAGGACCAGTCCAATCCACAGTTTGGCCTTTCTCATTTTGTGACTCCAGTCATTGATCTTCACCCTCCTAATTCACAGGAAGCCTTCCCGAAGTACTTTCATGTTCCCCAGTCACCTTAACACCAATTCTCAGCTCTAGGATTTGTGGTCTGACATAATTTGGACTGATCTATTCTCTTATTTTTCAATTGTTACTTATGTATCAGCCTTATCATAAGAATTTAAAGCTCCTACAAAGTCATCAGAAAGACCTTTCTCTTGATCAAGTGAAATTACCTGGACTTTGGAATACATGTGGATTTAAAACCTTATCTCTGATTGTGTCATTTATCATTCTGAACCTGTTCTTTCAGGGTTACTATAAGAAGGAAATTAATGAAAATAAGTCGTCATAAGTGGAATGAGCTTATATATATATATTTTCTTTCTTCCATCATATAATGCCCACACAGTGGCTGACACACAGTTAGCAATTAATGATTTCTTCATCATACTCTACCAACATGCAGTGAGGACCTGCTACAGGTAACTTTGTCTCTGTGGTGCTAAAAAGATGTAGCTCTGCTCCTTGGCCATTCCAGTTTTGTTGATGACTATAATGTCAGACTTCAAAAAGCCAGCTTGCAGAACAGGAACTAAATATTTCAGGGAAATTATACTCAAGAATGCCTGCTAAGCAATGCAAGGTCCCACCACACTCTGATCCAGAAAGCTAATGGGAGACTTTTTTTTTTTAAAGAGAGGGTGAGAGAATTTTTTAATATTTATTTATTTATTTATTTATTGGTTTTCGGCGGACACAACGTCTTTTGTTTGTATGTGGTGCTGAGGATCGAACCCGGGCCGCACACATGCCAGGTGAGCGCGCTACCGCTTGAGCCACATCCCTAGCCCTAATGGGAGACTTTAATCAAACTCTCAGCAGCATGAAAGGAGGATAGGAACATAAAACACAGGCTATTTTTTAAAGCACTTGAAAAAGTTTTCTCAGTGGAGATACTGGCTGTCTATTCCCGCTACAAAAAAAAAAAATCAATAAGCTCACATTACTGAAAATTCAGGAAAAACCAGTGGCTTGGGGTTTGGGAGGCTTAGAAGCAAAGCAAATGGGCTGTGTGGTCAACATAGTTAGATGTGAGTGCCCAACCTGGTGCAGAGAAGAGTTGTAGGGTATACCTGTGAAAACGTGCTGCTCTTGTGTTGAGGATACTTTCCTGCTGGTGCCGTCTCCAGAGTCTACTCCATGTGTGGAAGAGAGTAGGCAGAATTCTCTTTTGGAAATGACTGTCTGCTCTGGCCTGCAGGAGCTAACATAAAATAATAAATGTCTTTTGCTTTGCTTTCTCTACACCCCCACAACAAATGACCTTCTATATCATATTCTTGAAAGATTCCTTCCTATACCACAAAATTGAGAAAAAGTTAAAAATCATGTTTGATATCTGCCAATAAGCTAGATAGAAAAGTAAAATATGACAGCTGAAATCTATTCACTTCTTTAATGACACATGGCCTGAGCATCTCTTCATATATATAAACACAAATATATATATATATACACACACATATATATTTAGATCAATATGCATATATACATACACACATGTGCATATTCATGTATATATTTCCCCTAATGTTTAAGAGATTTTCACACCCATTACCTGTTTTATTGTCTGTCAGCATTTAACTCAAATGTGTATGGATTTTTTGAGCCTTAAAAATGTCATTAGGGGGCTGGGGATGTGGCTCAAGTGGTAGCGCACTCGCCTGGCATGCGTGCAGCCCGGGTTCGATCCTCAGCACCACATACAAAAAAAGATGTTGTGCCTGCCAAAAACTAAAAAAAAAAAATAAATATTAAAATTCTCTCTCTCTCTTTAAAAAAAAAATGTCATTAGGTGCCCTTTTAAGGTTGATGCAGTGCTATAAGAGGCTAACACTGAAGGGTAAAGGAAACCTTTATAAAACACAGAGAAGAGACTACAAAAGTCTTTGAATACTGCCTGCAGTTACAGCTAAAAGAAAGAAAAAAGATGTCATTAGGCCAAGCATAATGTTGCAGGCCTATAATCCCAGTAACTCTAGAAGCTGAGGCAGGATGATTGCAAGTTTGAGGCCAGCCTCAGCAAAGTGAGGCCCTAAGCAACTTAGTGAAACCATGCCTCAAAATTAAAAAAAAAAAAAAAAATTAAAAAAGGGCTGAGGATATAGCTCAGTAAAGTGCCTCTGGGTTTAATACCTTAAAAAACAACCAACCAGGGTTGTGGCTCAGTGGTAGAGTGCTGGCCTAGCATGCGTGAGGCACTGGGTTCGATCCTCAGAACCACATGAATGTAAAATAAAGATACTATGTCCACCTAAAACTAAAAAATAAATATTAAAAAAACAAACAAAAAAATCAACCAACCAACAAAGCCCTTTGTCATATTTGTTTTAAATATACATACTTCTTTCTAACCCTATAGTATGTCTTAACTTTTCTGTATTATATATTTGTCATACAGATTCTTTTTTTTGGCGGGGGGTGGGGTGAGGTGGGGGGAATTGAACCCAGTGGCACTTAACCACTGAGGCACTTTTTTTTTTTTAATTTTTTTTTTAATATTTATTTTTTAGTTC